CGCATAGCAATATCGATCGTCGGGCGGTCACATCTTGCCACGCGCTCGAATTGGGCGGTAGGCCGGCCTAAGACAACGATTTTTAATAATTAATTACTCGTTAACTATTACAAAAATTGCAAAATGGTACAGGACTTTTCCGTTCATCTCGACCCGTTCTACCTTCTCAAAAATTTTGTCGGATATGGAAAGACTCACCCTGTATAAAGAATCTCTCGTTTTCAATCCCTTTGTATCTTTCGTTGCTTCGACACTTCCTTGTGTAATCGCGTGGAGAAGATTTTCTCACTTTGTCGGGCACGTCAAAGTCACACGACTATCCAACAGATATCCATAAAAGTCCTCTGAAAAAAATCCACGTCAGACAAAACGCACGTTTGCGCCGAGGTAAAAAGCTTCTCATCCTCTATCCCGCACGCAGGGCGGAAAGCAAACGTCTTCGCGATCTCTGCGTGGAGCAGAGTCTCGCCTCGCTGCATCTTATTAACATCATCCGTGCGTTACACCGCGTACATGAGAACCTACCGATGGAAGCCGTCGGAATAACAGTACACATTTTTAACGTCGTAACACTTCGATCCTCCTCGTGCAAACGAAACGACGTAGTGCTCCACTCGGGAAAAGTCCCTGTGCGTTTGCAGCAGTTTGGAAGAAAGAGAAAACCGGTTAAAGTGCAATAACACTAAGAATAACTAAAAAAAAACGCGTGTACTGAAACAGAGACGATCGAATTAATTCGATTAATTCGGTGACATTAAGTCGGCGCTTATTTGGACCAGACGCGTATAAACAAAGAGTTAATTATACATGAGATATTTCACGTAGTTTTCTCCCGTTTTCTTCAGCGATGATTTTACTATCGTTAGGTGGATCGTTAGAATTGCGTCGATATTATTGTGCTTTTAGAAAAATTTTTCAGCTTTCGCGTCTATGCATCGGAACAGTTTGCTCCCTTTCTCTCTAGGACGATGTTTTCTCCATTCGTTTAACTGACCGGAGACGCATGCGACATGCTCGTGTTTCCGTTTAAGAGAGAGAGAGAGAGAGAGAGAGGACGAGATGCTCTTCGCATGGGCATCGACAATCTACTTGACGACAGTAGCTATTTAAATTATGCCACACAGAAACTATGCCGCTTTCGCAACAATTATCCGGTCTGCTAGAAGAATCCGCGGGTGTGAAAGCGTCTTGAAGCACTCAAAGCTCCGACGTTTCGTAGAGTCCTCGTGGAAAAATAGAATTGGAACGTAACGCAAGACACAGTTAATCAATAAGTTGCAAAACAATTTTCAGGACCGACGAAAAGGGGATGCGAGACGCCGAGGCTCCGCGCGAGATTTGACGAGATAAATTCTAACGGACTACTAATTCCAGTAATTATACTCGTATTACGCACATCTCAATTTATATGCACATACTGAGCTGGAATATGTAATTCAATTATGCGATGAAAGTTGAGCACAGTAGACCATTGAGAGAAAAACGTCGCCGAAGCGATAAGTCATAAATAGCGTTACACACGCGGTCGCAAACGTTTTATCAGGAAGATCCGTTTCGTTAAATTAAGTCGTCGTGCGTTGTAGCTAAATTAAATCCAAGTAAACGTTAAACGACTAATTGAGAAACTTACCTTCCAACCGCTCAAATATTTTTAAGAAACGAAGATTACGTGTCAAAGACGTAGACATGTTAACCATAGACTGTTTATAAGACAGTGGAGTGAATTTATTTGGATGCGCAGAAAGGAAAGTGTCGGAGCAACTCTTGTATGCTCGAATTGACGCGTTCATTGTTTCGTATATACGCAACGATCTGTAATATCTTCTTACAAGCATTTAATAATCTTACATTCCAACAATATTGCGGTCTCGCTTAAATATTATAATTGTCACTTCAAGAATGCATATAGAGGAAAGTCCCCTATTATACGATAGGATTTTAACATGGGATAGCGGGATTTTATTGTCCTTGGAGCGAAATCTGTTTGGTGGGAAATTCATTGTTGGATTGTGTAATCGTTGCGAAACAAGATTTGTAATTGAAAACCTGCTATCTCATAGTAGAAACCTGTCTCACAATAAAGGACTTTCCTCTAATTATTTTAATCGTTATAACCTTCGATTTGAAAATATGTCTTTTCTATCCAATGTCGTTTCCCTTTCATTCAAGAAAATTATTCTTAAATAGCGAAGATATATCTTTCTTGATTAATTTATATAAAATTGCTTCATTGAAGCAAGTTTTTCTTCCTCTAACGCAATACAATCTCATTTCAAGAGTTTCACGTTGAAACTAAACGTATTTTTAAAAGAGAAATATTATTTTTCCCAACTATTTAAAAAATTTACTATAAAATATAAGCTTTTAACTATTGTTCTGTTAAAAAATCCAGGTGATAAACAGTAAATTAGTTAATTATTTTTACATAGTAAATACAATCACAATAATAGTAAAAATTATATTTCTATCATCCACCTTACTAATCACGTGGCAAACAAAAGTGAAGTGATTCGGAATGTCCTCACTAGAGGGACGCGCGGTGTAAGACTTTCTCGTAAGAAGAAAACCGCATAGGGTGTTAGAAATACGGATAAGTTTGTACGTTCGTACAAGATTACTTATCTTTTCTAGAAAAGGTGCTTTCTTGTACTATTCTTTATGAGTGCAAAGTGATTTAACAAAGCGGGGAATATTATTTGCAATATAAATACGATTATTATTATCACATACAGTTTTCGAATTTTTACTTGTGGTTGTTGTTGCAATATTTATAGCACACCTTACCGAGTTAAAAGCTCGTTTTGGTTTATGACAACCATATCATAAGTTGCATGGACCAATATTGTGTCTATGAGAACATTGTTAGGTCAACCATAACTTACGTAGTTGGAAGAATTAGAAAAATGTGGTTGGCTCCTAAAGTGACTAGAAATTATAGTGAGATTGCGGTAACTGCAACCATTTTTTTCTGTCAGTGTATGGTCCAAGATATTATGCACAAATTATCCCTTGGAAACGCGACTTTAAAACGGGTTGAAAGATAAGCTCTCGAATTTCGCTCTCGGTGAGACTTGAAAGGACTGTGTAAGTTACCTTGACCCTGGTTCTCCGCGAAGTGCACCTGGTTCAGACTCCGCGAGAACTCGCCCTGCTTGACCTTCTGCGAGAAGTCGGCGTTCCCGAGCCGCTTGGAGAACTTGACGCGGCAATTGTTGCCGCGCGGCTTCGCCGCCCTTAGCAGCGACGACGCGGCCGGCTTCGGCCTCTTGGCGAAGGTGTACGGGATCGTATAGGGCTGGGCCACGTAAAAGTAGATCGGCCGGTAGTCCTCGTGAGGCTGCGGCTGCTGCGCGCTGAAGCCGCCACCGTTGATGTTGGCGCAACAACCGGTGCTGGTGTACACGCTCGGTGCGCCGTTGCTGCACGCGTACGAGTTCGCGTAATGCACCCCGTAGTGGTTCGCCGTTTTTCGTGAATTACCTTCCACGGTTCTCGATGAAAATGAAAGAGAGGGATGCCGCCGATCCCACCTCCGGTCGTTAGATCGACGATCTCTTCACGATGCGGGGCGTCTCTTATCCGAGACCACTGTCGTCGGTGTTTCGCGCAGATCTTTGAACGAGAACAAACGACGTCTCGCTCTGTCGGCTCTCATTTATTAAAACAAAAAACGTTTCCTTGTTTTTCAACGGATCACTTCAAGTTTGTCAAAGTTAAACTCTAAATCGCGCAAGAAACTCGGCATTTTCCGCGCCACTTTGCGAGAATCGATCGTCGCTCAAATGAATGCGGTTGAAATGTCCCTGCGCGACCTGCGAAGTGCATCTACCTGAGTTAATAGAAAGAGAGTGTTCTTTAAAAATGAGGGCTTAGCGTTAATCTCGAGCTGAAAGTCGAAGGCCCCGCGGTGGCGTCGCGTCGCGGCGCTCCTCTTCCTCTCTTTATCAGAGGAGTTATCAGAAGCCACAGGTGGTGGATTGCGGAAAGCCGGTTCGGTCGTGGATACCAGCCACGATCTTCTATTACCTACGTGTATTTCGATGGCTGGCGGCCTCGCGAAGTTAGAGACGGGGGGGATTCTCCGCTTTAATTCGTCGCCTGAGAAGTTTCTCTCCCAACGTGTGTGCGCGCGTCGCTTAAATTACCGCGCGACAATTTCCTGGCTTCTTTGTTTCCAATCAATGCTATTGTGCGGGACTCCTAGGGATTCTGAAACGTCGCCGCTTCAGAATCCACCTCGAGTACCGCTTGATGTCGGGACTTCTCAATGGTACCTTGGAAACGGGTGTTTTTCTACCACGTGAGATCCCGCGGTGTGTCAACTGTAAGAGAAATCAGTGCGTTAGACGACGATTGCTCTACACCGAATGTGTTTCGTCGTGTGTCGTGTTAATTGTAAGAAAAGGATGGAATGGCGGCGAGCAAAGTGCGAGACGATATGCACGCGGGGACAAAATGTAACTGCCCGAAAACTGCCTGCGGTAATTAAATTTCAGTTGTAAAATATGGACAGCTAATATTTAGATAGCTAAATATTTTGCTACGCAAAGAGACTTTTCTTTTAAAATTTATCCTGAAACTCGGACACTTCTAACAGTCGTTCTCCGGCCTTGGTAGACAGTGCACATATTTTACCTTTGTGCCTGTTAATTTTACAATCATGTTTCAACTCCTTTGGATTTTTATCGTTCAACTGCATATTACACTGGCCTGATTAATTGTAAGGTAACTGACTGGTCTAGGATTTATTTTCAATTTATTATTTTATGTATCCGCTTTGACAAACCATATCTTTTATTATGCTCATCCTTTGTGATCTCGTTTCGTTTTACATATTATTATTGTACACATTTTGAATGTCTATTATTTTAATTTGTATCATTAATTCTATTTTTAACTTTGATAAGCTTGTAATCCCGATTATCGGTTTGTTCCCTTTAGAATGCGCTTGAAAAGAAGCTAAACTCTTGGTCGAAACGTCGCACTGTATGTCTTGTTATTTCATTTTATTAAACACGTACCAGTTAAGGTAAACTTATTCATTGTTATTTATTACTGGCAACCTAAAGAGACTATCATGTTCAGGAGAGTTTTCTGAAATATTACATTTTACTAGTAGACCGTAAGGGAAAGTTTCAAAAACTCTCATAAAGGTCTTCAAAATGCCGTGTTGTCCCACGATCACACGAGTCTCAGGAAAAATTTTACAAGAAAATTGTCACACAATTACAAGAGTTTCAAGGTAAATTTTAAAAGAAAATTCTCTCCGTGTATTAGGTGCGACAACAAATCACTTGCTGTGGTTTGGAAATTTATAGCGATGGCAGCAAAATATTTTTAGCAAAAATTTTGTTTAGTGCAGCATTTTTTCAAGCGCTCGTCGATCATCGAGACACAATAGGCCTCTTAGAAAGTAATGCGACACATTTGATTTCTAATCCGAAACATTATTTTCTTATAGCTCGAAATACCGAAAGTGTCGAGCGTCGCGTTTTACTCTCGACATCATGAATAAATACATGCATTAGACGAGAGCATTATTTTAATAATAACACAAGCACGTTTTGTACTTTCTTTCAGGACGTTCCACTCTACGCGAAACAGGGAAAGTTCAAGAACAAAAGCATTTAAAAGGCAAGAATTATTAAATAAGCATGTTTAGAATTTAAATAATCTCTTTCTTGAATTCTCTCTTTCCACTTCAAAGTCCTGCACGAAAACGCGGGAAGAAACAAAGTTTAAGCATTATTGAAGTAACGCCTTTGTATGAAAATTCCAAGAGCCAAATTGACAAACAGCGCAAATAGAAGCCGGAGAGACCGCTGAGAAAATGGAGTTGCATTTCGCATTGGCCTGAATTTGAATTGAAAGGTCGGAGAACGCCGGCGTGTGTTTTTAGAGTAAAAACATACAAATCTGCCTTCCGTTTAAGATCGCGCGAAATGGAATGAGGAAATTTCATTGGGGATACAGGGAGAAGACACGGAGAGAGCCTCGCATTTTCCCCGAGTCTCACACTGGGTTTACGCGAGGTATACGGCTGCTTAAATTCTCAACGTTAAAATAAAACGAAACGAATTGCTAATGATCTGTAATAAGCAAGCAACGGCGGGACAATCGCTAACGGTACGATCGAATTTAAGAGGCGCGATATAATAACCGTTTCTTGCCAACCGACGTTTCCCAAGTGCGCTTCGTTACCGCCGCAAGAAACTTTGCTACTTGCCGTTAGTACATCGAGATTTACATTTGCATCCTTTTTCACGGCTAAATGTTGCAACCGGGGTCGAAGCGGCCCGCCAAAAAAGATCGCGGGCGCCAGAACGTTCAGTTTTAAACTCGGAGAGACATAATTAAGTGTTCTTTGCATTTGAGTTTTTACGTGGCGGCTGTTCAAATCGGACCTTGGTGACGTTCGGATGTGCGCGCTAATTTTACCTTTGACTTTATTTCACTGACGACAATGAAATATAATCGCTTATTATTTAAAAAGTACTAGAAATGACAAAACGCGCGCTTCGCGCGCGCAGTTTGTCGTCGACCATTGTATATTTTTAAGAATTTGTATACATGTAAAGAAGTAATTGTATGCGCAACGTCACTTTAAAATAAAAAATAATTTGTCACTCACTAATACGCAACAGCAGAGTTTACATCGTCAACTATGTATGTTAAACTGTAAAAATACAAATATGTAAGTACATGATTATTACAGACTAATTATATAAAATCGAAATGATTGTATTACATATACTTTATATTTTATATTTAAAAAAATAGGTATTTATTAAAATAATTATATAGAATACTAAAAGTCTTCCTTTTAAATATAAACTCACAAAATTTTATACGTATGATTTTGTCTCTAACACTTATTCGAATCCTCGTTCGAATCATTGGTATAAATAAAATAAAAACACAGAACAGATGCTTTATTTTGCACAAGTAGCAAATAACATAAAAATGTACAATAAGACACTCACCTCACCGATTTCTCCGCTTCTCCACCGATTGTCCGATGCCTCCAAGATCTGCTCCTCCTCTCAGATTTCCTTGTTGCACTGATACAACACTCACTCGCGAAAATAATCGATCGCGCGAAATTTCGGGCACTCCCGTACGCGATGTGAGATACCGCGAAACGCACGAAATATTACCAACAACTTGCATTTTTGATTCGGAAGAATAGGAAATGGATAAATCACTATTGAATTGACGCAACAAGTAACCGCGACAAAGTACCACGGTTTACATTCATATTTTAGATGAGTTAGTCGCGTGAAAGATCTATGTATACGTTGATAAAGAGCCGTCGCCTCAATACGCAATTCGTTTCTCATTACAAGTTGTAGAAACTTAATAATTAATCGAGTGAACGTTACTTGTTACTGATAAAGGTGTACAAATCAATAGCGTTTTATCCCAACATTCACCGCGATCGAGTCTTGGAAACCGATAACGCAAAAGTAATAACACGCACGGAGCGACTCTCGCCACTGCCTGTCGGCTCGACGTTCGGCGGGCGAATGATAGTGCGGCGACCTTCGAGTACACGATGGCACGCAAAAACATCGTACGACACCGCGCCGAGAGAAAAACAACAACGAACGTTGAGAATTCGTTGTCCCACCTACGTAGGCGCTTTTTTGTTGTTTTTCACTTGGCGCAATATCGTACGACGGTTACGCGGGCCAAAGTTTACCTGAAGGTTGCCGCGTTATCAGTCGCTCGCCGAACGTCGAGCCGGCAGGCAGTGGCGAGAGTCGCTCCGTGCGTAGTGTTACTTTTACATTATCAGTTTCCAAAATTCGACCGCGATGAGTGGAGGGATAAAACGCTATTGATTTGTACACCTTTATCAGTAACAAGTAACGTTCCTCGATTAATTATTAAGTTTTTACAACTTGCAAAGAGAAACGAATTGTATATTAAGGCGACGGTTCTTTATCAACGTGTACCTAGATATTTCGCGAGATTAACTCATCTAAAATATAAATGTAAACCGTGGTACTTTGTCGCGGTTACATCTCGTTTACGCACCGCGCTTTTAATTATCTGTCGATTTCGTGTAATCTGTTCCATTTTCGGGATAAAAGAGAAATTTGTACG